ACTCAGAGTTATTTCTGATCCAGCTGTACATGGCGTCCACGTGTTTGAACTCGTTGGGGCTGGCGGGCAGTGGAGGGCAAGAGGAGGACCACGTGTCAGCTTCCTTCCAGAGAGTCACCCCAAAACAGAGGACATCCTTAGGGTTGGACCAGCTCCACAGAACACTCTGAACAAATTCCCATGATGCCAGTCTACTAGGCCAGCAGAAAATGGCTGTCGCCTTCCAGTTCTCCCAGAGAGCAAAGGGTTCAAGTTACTTCACCACCACTAGATACACTGTCACCCATGGGCACCGTTGGTCACCTCTGCTCTATTCAGCAAGTAGAAAGTCATAAGCAGGAGATATTTATAGTCCTTCCCTGTAAACCAGAGGCCTCTCCTAGGGCTCCTGTTAACGTACACATTTGACCATTACCAGACTCATCTCTCACAGGTAAATTGTTTTCAAGAAGATAGTAAGTTAGGAACCATCTAGTCTTGTGAAATGCTGTAAAGGAGTGGGTGCCTTCTTTGCTGCCCAAGGAAAGGATTGAGCGTGGCTTCAAGGCAAGGGGGCACCGCTGTGACCTCTAACAGTCACCTTCAGGGCTGGCTCCCTGCAGGATTCCTGGCTCAGTGGGGCAGGAACTCCCAGCTGACACAAAGATGACAAATGGCTCCTCTAGGCTGCGGCAGGGATAGAGCCCTGGGGCCTCTAAGCCAGGGGGCAAAGTCTGCCTCAGAACCAATCCTCCTCCTGCCTCTGAATACCCAGGACTCCCCATTCCTCATCCCACCTCCCACCCCATGATTTTCTGGACCTTTCTCAGTCACCCCTTTAGGAAAACTGACCTGGCCTCTGGCCCGTTCTCTAAGGATAGGATTTCATCATGAACTGGCAGAGTCCGTGGAGGCAGGTGGCCCTCGTGCCCTTTGCTGAAATGGAGTCTTAGCCCAGGGGGGAAGCACCTCTAAGTGCAGAGGCGGACGTGGAGCACCCACACAGCTAATAACACCCAAATATCCTCTGAGAGCCTGCTCACTTAGGAAGCCCCCTTGCCAAGTTCTGGTGGTGGTTGTGTTCTTCTTGGGCGGAGTTAGCAGACCAAGGACACAAGTTCCAACACGGAAGAGAAGTGGCACTTCTGGAAACAGCACAGCAGCTGACCGAGCATAACCTTGTCGCAAGGGCGCGAACTGCCCCCTCACGTGATTGCAGCTGACCCCGCGCGGGGCCGCAGAGCCAGGGCAGTGCTGAGGGAGGGTCTAAGGGGCAGCACTGAGGACAGCCGAGCGAGGGTGGCTTGTTCTGGTGGCACATGTCACTCTCCACACCCACCAGAGCACGGGAAGCCAGAGATGTCATCCACTCAAGGGTCAAAGCCAGGGTTGACCGTAAGCCCCCGTGAGCCAACCCAGCCAACAAGCAAACAAACACATTTTGCCAGAGACGAAGCACGTTTCGGCCAACTGTGCTGCATTTTTACCTCTGATGGGGGCAAACCAGTTACGTGGCTCGTTATTAATGGATTAGGGATTTCAAAAATGACTCTCTAGCAATAGTATTAGCCAATTTAAATTGGGTCCAGCTGTTGGGTTAATTAGTAATTAGCTCCTTTGGAGGGCCTCAAAAGGTTCATTTTCCCACTTATTTATCCCGAGTCACTTCTTTGCACCTGTTTTTGATGCTGCTGGGGTTGAAAATCAAAAATCACTCCCAGAAACGAATGGATTAGTTGAGGGTTAAGGCCCCAAACGCAGAAACATTTAGATTTTCCATCAAGAAAAATTCCTAAGGCGCCGTCAGAAACAAGCGGACAAGCAAGGTGCCGAGGGCCGCGCCTCACTGCAGAGCTGTCGCAGGGAATGGCCGCCGGCGCCTGTGTGTGCCGGGAAGAGCGGGCGGGCAGCAAGGCCCGCACTCCGACGGCTTCTTCAGGGAGTCGCCGCGAATCCCTCGCCCGCGAGCCGTGCCCGTGAGAGCTGTCACCGCGGCACCAGAGGTCCCGGCCCGCAGCCCTCGGCCCACCGCTCACAAGACCCCCCACACTGGCTCTAGCAGCGCCCCCGCTTTGCAGGAAGAAAGTCGGGTTTCATGGGCTCACTGACCTTGGAGCCGGAGTCTCCCACGTCCCGCTGCCCGCAACAGCTGAGGAGTGTAAACCGCCCGGGCAGGCCTTGGCCTTGAAAAGCCTCGGGGCTGGGCGGGGCCGGGGCCCATCTCGGCCAATCCCGACTCTCCGGTCGGACGTCAGGGCGCGCTGGCTCCCACCGCGCTGCCCTTGAAGGCGGGCTTCGCACGCTTTCCCGCTGGGCCCTGGGCTCTCCAGCACCTGCCCTTTCCCCCAAACGTTGCCCTCCCCCATGTCCGATCCTGGAGGCTGCCGCTCCCAGGGCTCTGCCAGGTTCGGACCCGCAGCCTGGCCGACGGACCGCCCAGCCCCGCAGAGCCCGGCTTCGGCTTCGGGGTGGAAGCGCCGGCAGGGGGGCTGCCGCACCTGTTCGGGGACTGGTTCCCACGTCCCTCAGCGGCCCCATCCCGCGAGAGGGGCGGGGGCAGGCGGCTGGCTCTGGAGAACGACCCCCTCCGCAAACCTCAGCGGAGGGCTGCGAGGTAGAAGATGGGTAAAGCTCCCCCCTCGCCAGCCGCTAACCGAGCTCTGAGCCAGGGGCCAGAAGAGGTCCTTCCAACTTGCTGTCTGGGGCCCGGGTTCAGGGACAACGACAATCACGTTTCTCTTTTAGATCAAGCCCTCTGAAGTAGACTGCTAGACAATTTCCCTTTCAATCCGCACCAGTTTAATGTATCGTCCAGAAGGCCCTGCAGGCCACATCCCTGCTTAAAAATAGCCCTGCTTGGGACATGCGCCCCCAACCAGAAAGGTTGGCTGTAAATAGCAGTGACCCACGAGGACTTGGGCTGCAGCCCTGACATTTCAGAGGGAGCTGCCTGGCTCTCTGGTGACGGTCACGTACCCAGCCTCTACGGCCAGGTTCCTTTCCCTTTTTCTCTCAGGGTCCAACCCGGAGCAGGGGGTAGAGCCCAGAAATAACCTCCCACCTAGAGTGGTTCTCTTTCAGAGTTTCTACTTCTTTTAATTATGACCCAAAGCAAAAATAAATGTTACCTTTGCATGGGGTCACTGACTGGGAGAGTGCATGAGGGAACCTTCTGGGGTCTGGGAAGTTTCCTGATTTGGGGGTGATTGTATGGGTCCATGCATGTGTGAAAATGCCTCAAGCTGTGCACATAGCATGCAAGTGCCTCACTTTGTAATGGTCCTACCTCAGTTAATATATATGCTATCATTTTGACCTAGCTTACACCGAATCGAAATTTTTACAAAACCATACTTACCCTTTCTACATATGATATATTCAGATATTTTCTAGGCTCTTCTGTGTTATTTCATTAAAGCATTTGCAGATTGAGACCAAACTGACTGCATGATCTTCTAGAGAGTCAGGGTTCCCAGTTTGCACGTTCTATCATAATGGACCATGGTCTCTCCAGCCCCTGGGGGCCTCCTCCAGCAGAACGGGCAGGAAGCTGGAGGTCTCTGGGGTGACGAGCCTCTCCGTAGGCTGGGCTCTGCGGGTTGGGGTTAGAAGTGAGGGGGGAAGGGGCAGTTGAGGCTTATTTCCTCCAAAATAGCTCTTTTGTGGGCACACTCTTTCCAGTCATTTCAGACACCAGTTGAAATAAATCTAGTGACCCTGAAGGAACCCAGATCCCAGGTCCAGAAAATGATGACGTGTTGATGAGCATGGAGAGGTAGAGTTTAAAGAATGGCAGTTACAATGAGAAACTCCTCTTTTTCTTTTTTCCCCAATTCCTTTCTAATGGACATTTAGTGTTCCCCACTCCCCAAGACCCCCCTCTTACCTCAAGCCCTCATCTCTTACAGGGTCATTTTACAGAAGTTAGTAAGGTCAGAAAAGAAGTGGGCACATCGCTGAGAAAATGGGGTGCTGCTTTCCTTTGGGGGACCTGGCCATCGTGAAGCTTATGACAGGGGTGGGTAACAAGTGACTCAACATAATTCCACAGTTCCAAAAATCCTTCAAACATGATCCCTGTTGTATGCCATTTATCCCTTTCTCATCGCTGCCAACTCCCTTCAAAGTTCGGGGGCTCTCTCCACACCTAGTAGCCAGTGTGGCCACGTGGCTGGCTCTTGCCACACGGACAGGAACAGAAGTGAGGCGTGCAACTGCCCTATCACTTGCTTTAGAGGAAATCTGTCCTGGGCTTACTCTCTTTCCCACTCCTGAGTCCAGCTGGAGTCTGGATGTGGTGGCAGGCAAGGGCAATGCTGTGTGGGGTGGCCAACTCATTAAATGAGAAGAACCTGGGTTCCTGAATCCCCACCAGCCTCATTGCTCATTTCAGAATTGGAAAGGGAAGCCAAGGAAATAGGAGACACCCAAATTCTTCCTTCCCTCAGTTCTCACTTGTGTGCAACAGCTGCATCATGCTCTCTTCAGCTCGGAATGTTAGCACAACCTCATCTACTTGACTAAAGTTAGAGTATTTTTATATACATTATTCCACATAGCCATTGCAGTAATTCTAAGGACAGATTCGCGTCTTATTTCATAGGTGAGGAACTTGGCCTCAGACGGCTCAGTAGCCCATCCGAGGTCGGAGTGATGGCCTGGCCAGGTCCCCTATGCACTCAGCCTGGTCATGAGTGTTGAGTTACCATTAGATGAACGGAGCTGTTTGGGCAGTAATGAGTTCTGTGTGCCTGGGGGTGTTCAAAGGTGGTCAGACGTGGGCTGGGGATGTCACAGGAAAGATTCAAGCACTGGAAAGACAGTGGGGCTTGATGGCGCTTGATATTTTTTCTGAGGTTCCCCCGAATTCTCTGACATTTTAGTGCCTGCAACGTAGGCTTCTTCCAAATTTTATTTTCTCCTGAACTTTAGAAGTAAATGAATATATCTGAGGAAGCCCATTGCTACAAAGAAGACGAGGTAGAAAAATGCAAAAAGAATCAATGAAGAGACTAATGAGATTTTCGAGAACCAAGAAAGGCAAAATTTAATTTGCATATAGGTATAAACCACACCCCACCTGGCAAGTGTTAGGCCATGGCACAAACCCCTCTGTCAGAGTCACAAACGTCAGCAGATTTGCAAAGTTACTGAACACAAACATTATACTTCTCAAAGTAACACACAGGTCTGTCCATCACACACACACACACACACACACACACACACATAACAAAGAAATGCATTTAAATAATTCTCTGCCAAAGAGAGATGAGGATGGCAATCACGCTACCTCACATTTGGACAGCACTTTACAGTTTACAACCTAACTCATTTTGTCCTGAAGACAGCTCTGTGAGGTAGGCAGCACAGGAATCAAGATTAGTTCCATTTTGCAGATGAGGGAACGGGCTCAAGGAGGCTTTAGCACTGGCCTCAGGTTTCCCAGCTCACAGATGGACATCCGGGCCTTGGGCTCAGGGCCAGGGCACCTCGGCCGGCTCTTCCACAACTGCCTTTCTAGGGAAAAAACGAAATGGACTGTGCAAAAGACAGTGGTTCAACATCCAGGAGAACTCTTCTTTTTCTTGGGCAGATGAGATCAAGTACAATCAACACTAACGTTAATCTCAGGCTGTGTGGTGGCCAAGATGAATAATTTTCTCAGTCATCCCTGTGTTTATACCTACAACCAAATGGTTGTTTTCTACTCCAGCTCTGCCCTATCTTGATTTTAAGTCACTCACAGCCATGGGAAAAAAAATGATGCTGTGATTAGATTTCATTGACTCAAGTCTTATTATCAGGATTCACGTAGCGGCATCTGTAATCAAGTCATTATTTACACTTATAATCGGCTGTCTTACTGAAATGAAAATGAACCATGTTCATGTATTCCTTCTGGCTGTGGACATTAGCCTGGCTCTATTCTTTAGCCATAAATAATATATAATTTATTTCACCATGTAATATATATCCCATATATAGTATATCCTATTTCAATAGCAGTAAATATGATAAAACTTCACAGGTTGAATTAAAAAAAATCTTTAGAGCAAAGAGAAAGATTTTTTTTTTCCAGGGGGAATAAAATCAAACTTTGCAAAGAAAAGCTAAATAAAATCCTTTATTTTAAAATATAAGTTATTCTGGAGGGGGGAATAACCCCTCTATTGCATTATTTTTTTAGTTAAGAATTTAAAAAGTGGCCCAGTCATTGTCGACCCAAGTTTTGTCTTGTATAGTGAGAGAAGAGGTAGTAACCCATCATCATATACTCCAAATGGGAATGTGACAGTTTTTTCTCTTCTAAGTTATTCAGTATCTATGAGTTTCATTTGTTTTTAAGCAGTACTTTAAGATGTATGAAATCTAACAAACATTAATGGGGGCTTTGTGGGAGAGCCACTTGAAATACTGCAACCGTAGTTTAAAATTCTCTCTTTAAATTCCTTCAGAGAAACACTAAGGAAAAGTGACAACACTCCACTTCATGCCTAAACCTGTCACATAATACGTTGGCTTAAGTAAGAGATTTGTCCCTGCAGCAAAACTGGATGTTAATAACCAAAGGCATCCCCTAAAAGTCCCAAGATAATTTCATGGACAGTACAAAATGTGGGCATTCATCTGAAAGCATGAAATTGGCTTTTACTTCTGATTTTCTAGGTTAATTTTGCAATAATGCAAGTGTTTGCTATTTGGTTGTTAGGGGCTGGCCTGCTTTCTGCTCTTAGAAGTGGGTTTCATATAATGGAATAAGGGCAGACACAGCTGGGAGTGCACACCCCAACAATAAATACAAACTTGAAAGGCAGAAGAGGATGGGTGCTTTAACAATCAGAAGCACTGCAAATTGCTCTTGGCGATTTTAAATGTGACCAAATTGAGTTTTTTAAAAATGCACATTCTTATCCCAGATGGTCCAGAAGTGGTGCAGATCATCAAAAGGAGCTCCCTTGGAGGTAGAGTTCTCTCTTTTTGCAGTTCCAGCAAGGTTTCAGACTCTAGTAAGGAGGAGGGGCATGCAACTTAAGAAAACTCTAAGGGTCACCATAGCAACTAACGGTGCCGTAGCCGACCACTGGGGGGCGCTTCCAACATTTTGCAGGAAATAGGCGACACAGCTTTGTCACTAAGTTGAGGAAACCCTGGCTCTCCAGAAGGGGAGGAGCATTTGGAAATTCCTCTCTCTCTCATTTTTCTTTAGTAAGAAGGGCTTTAGTGCCTCTGGGAATATTTGGGTCAGAGAAATAAGGGTCCACACACCGAATGACCTCTTCCCCTCTGGAAGACTTTGCAGACTTCAAAGCAGAGCGCATGGACCTGTCCACATGTTGTTTTGCCTGAAACTACTATGTGTGTGGTCCTGTCACTGATTTTTCCTGGTTTTAGTCCACCTTCCAAGACTATGTTTTTGAGCCAAAAAAGTTAAGCTTTATTTTCCTTTTCTTCGGCAAGACCTTGAGGTGCTTGGTGAAGTTGACATATATTAGTTCAAACCCTCAGTATGTGAACACTGAGAAATAAATCGCAAGTTATGCATCGTTAGGATCCAAACAACCCATGCTTCTTATCATGCATTGAAATGCATCAACCTCTTACTCGAAACTAAAGAGAACAAACAAGCAACTTCTTAAAAAAAGAAAAAGAGAGCATTCATAAGTAACCCTCCTTGGGTTTAGTGCTACACTGTTGGCTAATATGACCTATTGAAAATAGTTTTGGAATGGTCTTAAAATATTATAAATATTTTCTTTTACTTACTTGTATTTCACTATATAGTTATGTACAGAGATGGCCCTTACCATGCAGGAAAAATGTACATTCTCCACCTCTATGGTATATTATCAACGCAAGTGCTTCCACTGGGCCTTATGAGCCAGCAAGCTGAATTTATTAGTCAGCCATTAGTTCTAACAAGATAATTAAAGTGCAAAGAAGGAGGGAAAACAGCTAGACAGATCAATTTTTTTCAATGTCAGCATCAATATACTTCATGCCTCTAGGAGAAACCATCAGGCGCAATAGGCTCAGGTAACAATAACTCTGTATTTTTCCTCTTTCTTCTTTTAAAACAGAGCTCTCCCTGAGAAGAGAAGAGGGAGGTAAACGTGAGTTAGCCCTATTTCTTCAACAACCATCAAACCTGGGGAAAGTAAGGTCACTTCCCCAGCACAAGGTAGCAGGCCTCACCCTGCATTTAGTCTTCGGAGAGAGGAGCTGTTGAGTGGTTGGTCCCATCTCCCATACGCGTAGAATATTTGCACTCATAAATATCCCAATATTTAAAAACAAAGATGACCGGGGAAGAACTGTCTACCAACAGCACACAAACGTGTGGGTTTTAAAAAGAAAATCCCATTAAACAATGTTTTAAAAAATACAACCAGTATTCATAGTGAGTGTAAAAATGATTTGTGTAAATCAGAAAAAAAAATCCCACATTCCTGTGGGGAGAGTGGAGGAGAAGGAGCCCAGCAAGGTGCAGAGATGACTTTTAAGTATGTCTGGTCACTCAGCCTAAAACCCCGTGGCCCTTTGTGGCCTTCCGTCCCATTCCACAGTTCCGTGGGTGAGGTGTGCGGGCACCTCTCTGCAAACTCTGCACCTGCGTCTTTGAGGGCACTGGCTTCTCAGGCCCCACAGCCTCAGGGAGAAGCCCCTACCCGACCTGAAGACAGCCCCTGGCTGGAATCCCCTGGGGCAAAGCCTACTGAGTGTTTACTTTTAAAAAAGTTACGTTCACGTGGCTGTCATCGTGTCTTTCTTGCCCTGTTGCCCAAAGACCAAAAAAGCAGTTTCAGAACATGCCATTCCTCCAGCGTAAATAGTTAGAATGCACTAAAAACCATGCACATGCTGTAGACTGAAATTGCTCATGTGGTGGCCCATCCCTACAGAGGAAGCCTCGGCTTTTCTGGAAGCTTGTAATACAGAAAATATGACAGAGGCAGTTATAAACCCTAAGAGAAGACTAGCAGATGAACCCAGGCCAGTGCAGTGCCAGACAAACCGCTCAGGCCTTTTCCACTCTCCTCGTCCGCGAGTTCTAACAGAGCACGGGAAGGCTTTGAAATCAACCTTCTTACCTGCTTCCTTAAAATGGCTACCTGCACCTCCTCTATGACCTTCCCTTATGAAAAACACACCATCAGCTCTACCAAGGATCAATGTTTTCGCCTTCCCACCCCAAGTCTGAAAGCATCTGTCTTTGACCCCAAACAGCTGGGCTTCCCTGGCTGGAGACAGAATTCCAGGTCCGTTCCATCTTCTTTGGTGCACGGAGGAGACTGCCTTTGGCTCCGTCCCCCGTCCTCTCGGCACTGTGGGAAGCATGGCATGCACTGTTCTATCCGTCCCGCTTTCCATGAGAATCCTACAGACTCAGGGGCGAAGCCGGACCTTCAAGCAGGGAGCCGAGGTTCAATTTTTAGTGACAGTTCATACAGCGTATCTTCATCTATGATGAGGGCTTTGTCAAGCAGGTACTGAGTGACCTGGAGGAACAGGGAAATCCTAGCTTTGGGTTCCTGCAGAACACGAGTATGCACACTTTCTGAATGGAATTGGGCACAATTCAACATTTTCTCTTGAACATTTGAAAATGTTATATCATGGTTTAAAAATAATTAATATATTCTCACTGTAAAAAAAAAAAAGGAAGAAAGAAAGAGGGAGGGAGGGAGGGAGGAAGGAAGGAAGGAAGGAAGGAAAAGGAAGGAAGGAAAAGAAAAAGAAAGAAAAGGAAAGAAAGAAAGAAAGAAGAAAATCACACATTTCCAGTCCTCTCCCAGCTCTTCACCCCAGACACTTCCCTGAAGAGACACCACTGTTATCATCTGGTTTGTATTCTCCAGAGTGTTCTGGCTTTCTAGATATTACATGTTCTTATAGAAATCTTTTCTTCCCTTATAATCCTCAGATACACCTTATTGTGCTTTCGTCTCTTCAGTGTAAGTCAGTGAGAGCTCCCCATGTCAGTACATAGAATGTGAACTGCTGTACAGCATTAACATGTGATCTATCAGAGTTTATTTAACAATCTCTTATTGATGGGCGCTTAGTTGCTGTCAATATTTCACTATTACACAAAGTGACAGTGAAATCCTTATTAGCATGTTTGCTTAGTGCTCACATGGGAATGTTCCTTTGGGGTGGACCCTAGAAGTGAAATGAAAGGAAAGGACACTAAAATAAACATGTTGGGGCCTGGAGTATTTCTGTGGAAATACTGCTTTAATTTTATTGAGATACAATTTATATAAGAAAAATTAAGAGTTGGATTAGTTTTAGCATATATATCACAGCTTCAGGACCATTTCCCTACCCCAGGAAGTTCCCTCATTCAGCTTCCCTGTCAGTCTGCTCCCAGGAGCGGCCACTGCTACGGTTTCTAGTACCAAGCATTCGTTTTGTCTACTGGAGAATTTGATGGAAGCTGAAGCATACAGCACGTACTTGTGTGTCTAGCTTCTTTCATGCAGCATAATGTTTTGAAGTTCTTCCATATTATGGCGTATGTCACCAGCCTGCCCTGTCATTGCTGAGTGGTGCCGAGTCGTAGAGATACACCACATTTGTTGACCCCTTCATCTATTTATGGACACCTGGGCTGTTTCCAGTTTGCGGCTATTATCAAGAAATGCTATGAACATTTTATACAAGACTTTCAGTGGGCATGTTTTCATTCGCCCCTGGATAAATACCTAGGAGAGAAATTCCTGGGTCATAAGGTAGATGCATATTTAATGTTGGAAGAAATATCCACACCACACAGTTTTCTAAAGAGGATGAACCATGTTACTCTCACCAGCAAAGCAGAAGACATGTGGTTGCTCAGTTCATCAATTTTTAATTTTAACAGATGATGCAGATATAACCTCCCAAATTGCTGTAACATATAGTTTATAAGAGTACCTGGCATCCAACACTCTGAGGTTTGATATTACCAGTATTTTAAAATTTTGTTTATCTGGGGGCACCTGGGTGGCTCGGTCATTAAAGCGGCTGCCTTCGGCTCAGGTCATGATCCTGGGGTCCTGGGATTGAGCCCCGCATCGGGCTCCCTGCTCTGCGGGAAGCCTGCTTCTCCCTCTCCCACTCCTCCTGCTTGTGTTCCCTCTCTCGCTATCTCTCTCTCTGTCAAATAAATAAATAAAATCTTTCAAAATAAATAAAATTTTGTTTATCTGTAAGGTGAAAATGATGTCTTTATAATTTGCATTTTGTTTTCTTTCTCACTAGTGAAGTCAAACACTTAAAAAATATTTTAAATTTGTTTAAATGGCCAGTTTTGTTTCTTATTCTGTGAGCTACCTCACCTGTTCAAAGCTTTGCCGATTTTTCTCTTAAGTTGTTTATACTTTTCTTACAGACTTATAGGAATACTGTTATTCTGTCCCTTTGTTCTGCATGTTACAAATATCATCTCCTGGGGCGCCTGGGTGGCTCAGTCGATTAAGCGTCTGACTCTTGATTTTGGCTTAGGTCGTGATCTCTGGGTCGCGAGATCGAGCCTGTTGTCGGGCTCTATGCTGGGCATAGAGCCTGCTTAAGATTCTCTCTCCTGCTCCTTCTGCCACTACCCCACTTGCTGTCACACGTACTCTCTCTCTCTCTCTCAAAAGAAAAAATTAAAAAAAAAAATCACCTCCTAGCCTACTGGTTTTATTTTTGCTTTTTAAATAATTGCATTTTGTCATACAGAAGTTTTAATTTTGATGCAGCAAACTTAATCAAGCTTATCATTTACAGCTCATACGTTCTATAGAAGGTCTTTCAATCTAAAGGTTGTGGATATTTTGTACTATATTTTATTCAAATAATTGAATATTTCTTTTTATATTTAGGTAATGAACTCATCTGGAATTTTTTTGTGAATGGTATCAGATGGACAGCCAAAATTCCTATTCCCTTTACTTGACTGGTCAATTTCTTTCTGGCACTTTCTTGAAATGTCTCCTTTATTCCATATTAGATTTTCCTATAGACAAAATCTGCATCAGGACTGTATCCCACTCCACTGAATTTGTACTCCTATGCCAATGTAGTCCTGCTTTATTGGTTATAGTTTTAGGATATGTATCTGTATCTGGTAGGGAAAGCTCTTTCTTACTCTTTATTTTTCAAAAATCCATCTGGTTTTTTGTTTTGGTTTTTTGTTCTTGTTGTTCTGTTTTGTTTTGTTTTGGCCTGTCTAAGCTTTCTTATGAGTTTCATGACAAGTTTGTCAAGTACCATGAAATATTAAGGAAAAAATGGCTGTGAGTTTTATGGGAATCTTCTGTACTACCTTCTTAATTTTTCTGTAAAGTTAAAATGATTCTAAAAAATATCTATTTAAAAATGAAGGAAAGAAGGAAGGAAGGAAGAGAGAAAGAAAGAGGAAGAAAGAAAGAAAGAAAGAAAGAAAGAAAGAAAGAAAGAAAGAAAGAAAGAAAGAAAGACCAGCTGTGGCTGGGATGGAGGAAGAAAGGGGATATATGATGTGAGACGAATTTTGAAAGATGAGTAGAGGCCTTGTAATGTAGGACTTATTGGACACATCAAGACTTTTTCTTTCTTTATCTGAAGAGCAATGAAAAACCTATAAAATATTTTACACAAGGGACAAACATATCTTGCTTTGTGTTTCAGAGAGTTCTATTTGGCTGCAATTTGTAGAATGGATTTTGCATTCTAGAGTGAATGCAAGTAGACCAGGTAACAGATATTGGTAGCTTGGGCCAGGATGGTAATGGTGTAGACAGATTTATGAGAAATAGAGAATATATAATCAATAGAACTTGATAAATTGGTGTTCTTTTTGCCTTCTTTCTTTCTTTCTCAATCAGAGTTGCCAAAGACCTGTCTTTTTATTTTATTGGTTTTTTTCTGTGAGTCAGCTTTTGATATTATCGATCAACTTTACCACTGTTTCTAATTCATTAATTTCCACTTTTTTCTTTATTAATTCCCTTAACCGCCACACAATATTACCTTTGGCTGATGGTCTATTCGATAGCAAGTCTGCTGGAATTGGCGTATCTCTCTGATGATGTGTGATATCTAAGAGAGAAACAATAAGAACAAAAGCAAAGCAAAAGTATTTCCTTGTATTGCAACACATTCTTCCGGGCCCTATGCACAAGTCATCAGGCACTTTCTCCAGCAAAGTGCCAGAGCCCAGCCCTATCATTTTCTATGCCCAGCCAGGGCTTTCTTGCCCTTCAATGAGCCACATGAAATGCAAAGGGCAAGAAGATACTGACTTCACAATCAGGGGAACAGTTGGCCTGGGTGACCTCCGGTCCAGCAAAGGCAAGCTCTGGGTGTTACTGTCCTTGGGCTCCTTGTTGTAACTTGGTGCTCTGAACCCCGTTGTCCAGCAAGAAGCCTTCAGCATCTGTCTGTCACTGTTCCGTCTCAGAAAGTCATCCCTGGAGCTTCATTCCCCACCCCTTTGCCCAGACCGCATGCAAGCTGCAATACCCCTGCTGAAAATCGCTTCAATCAGCCGCAGCAGATATGAACCCCGGTGTCCCCCATCTCTTCCATCGCAAAATGAAAAAGCAAACAGTGAGCTCCGTGACTTAGCCCTTCTCTTTAAACCACTGCAGTCACTGAAACAGGCTGATGATGAAAGGACCACCTACCATTCTCATCTTGGAGAAATTAACAAGGCCTTCCTCGGTAAAGTTTGGTGTTCCCTCTTCAATAAACGCCAGGTCCGTCAGGTACATCCCCAGATAAGGAACAGCTGGGGGGTTACAGCTGCAAAACCAAGAGACACTGTTCTCAAGCGCACTCACCAAATAGAGACTCCCCTCCCGTGTTTCACAGGAAGCAACCGTGTGGCTTCAATCCTGAAGAATAAAGTCTTTTAATTCCGTCTGCACAAGCACACTCATGGTATTAAGAGTTTTCAATACATCTCACAACAGAATAGAAGAGAAAATCACAGCCTTATGTTTTACATGTGCTTGGGACGATGGCATGTTCGAACAACAGGCTGTCTTACAGACAAATACAGAGTATGTGCTAGTGGTACTCGTCTGCAGTACTTGTAAACTGGCCGCACTTTCCAGGGAGTAAGAGCATGGAGGAACCTCCAAGAACTGGGGAGAAAAATCAAGGTGATTAGAGCCTGTAAAGCTTGTTTTCTGCTTTCGCCAGGATTTCAATGTTTTAGAAGGTACAGACCTAATGAATATCACCACTGCACTCTAAAGTGACGCCTTCTCTGTTTTTGTTTTGTGAGGGGCGTACCTTGGTCTTCTCAGAGTCAAGAGTGAGGAGGACATGGGCTTTTGAGCCAGAGAGAACTAACTGGGTCTGCGTCCCAGCATAACCACTTGCTAAGGGATGCTGGGCAAACTCTGCGAACCACAGTCTCCTCGTTGTGCTTAGATTAATAAATACCAAATCAAGAAACTTTTTATAGTAGATGGTTTGATTTTAGAGTAAAAGATGATGATATTTTCTTCTTATCTGGGATAGTCTGCATGCCACCATTATGTCCAAAAGAAACTTAATGTATATGCACAGTCTTTCAAATGTAAAGAAGAATCAGGAAAATACCTAGATGATGGAAGTTCTTCCCCATTTGTTTTTCTTTTCAAAGCAAAGTAGGAGGTGGGCCACTATTTGTATACTGTATATATTTAAAAAATACATTTCTGCATTATGAATAACTTAATGATTAAGATAAACATACTTTTTAAGGGTTTCTCTGAGATTTTTAAATCTTCCTTCAGATGAAACCGTCTTCTGAAGCTTGTCCATGAGAGCTTTCGTCTGGAAAGAAACAAACAACTTAGCCTGTCGTGAAAATACTCCTATGGTTTGACAAGATGGGTGAGTTACCAAGAGATCCTCACTTCCCTTCCATAGTGGCAGGTGTTGATACCTTTGTCAGACTGTTGTGATACGATTTTCAAAGTACAGACTGAATTTGATGTTAAAAAAAAAAAAAAAAAACTTGTGGAGAAGAGGGACTATACTGCTCATTTAGCCAAAAAGAGGAAAATGTGTAGAAAAGAAAAAGTGCGATGCACGAGAAATTAGGGACTTAAAGAATTGAAAAAGCACATGTTGACTTAGGGAATCTTAAATGGGAGGTCTCACGTCAGGTGGTTTTCACGGTGAATCTTTTTGGGTGTTAATTTCCAAATCAACAAGACACAGATTTGGTTGCTTGGCTATCTTCTGCTACAAAGGTTTTGTGACCAACTTCCTCAACTTGTTAGAGAAGTATAACTGACATTTACCAAGAGATAAAACTGTTGTTGACATTGATCTGGAGTTTCTCGCATGGACATGGGAGAATGGTAGGGCGGCCCTTGGGGATGATGACCCACTCCTAGTAATACCCATGCCCGGGCAGACTGGCAGGGAAGAGCACTTGGAATGCCCAGGTTGCGACTCCTCAGACTACTCTCAGTCTGGAAAGGAGCTGCATGCTTCATGAGAGCTTTCAGAATGACTCAAAGGGCTGCCTTCCCCATCCTGGTTCCTGAGGACTCTGAAAGAAGATAGCTAGCAAGGCCTGGGCAGGGGTGGCAGGGTCGGGGGATGGGATGGGGCCGGGTGGGCCCCCTGCCTGGCCCAGAGCTGACCTTGGGCTGAAAGAAGGTGCACAAATATAGTCTATCCTATAGCCACAGATCTAATTTGGTGGGCTCCTGACTGCACATTCGACCAGGCCTTCTGGATGTCTCCCAGCCTGGACTCAGACCTGAAGAAGAGACAGCTACAGAGCAGATGGGGTGATGAAAGAGTCTGAAGCAGGGCATATCTGCAACCAGGCACTACCTGTGATGAGACCGAAGTCCTGGGACTGGGACGACAGACCATTACCCGTTCTAAAGCCACTCTGAGTGACACATACACGTGATTGAAATGGTATATTCTACTTAATGCTTCTACAGGTAGTATATTCAAATTTGAAAAAAATATTTTAATATCAGTCTTATCACCCCTATTCTGTAGTCAGTTACCCCTAAAGCCTCATCCTGAAAAGACATGGGTATCACTTAAGTCGACTACAGGGAAGGCCTACTGTTTTCTTTTCTTTTTTTTTTCTCAAGTTTTTATTTAAATTCCAGTTAGTTGACGTACAATGTAATATCAGTCTCAGGTGTAGAATTCAGTGATTCATCACTTACATACAGTACCCAGTGCTCATCACACCGAGTAACCTCCTTAATGCTCATCACCTGTTTAACCTATCCCC